AAACACGGTAGTGTCAGTGCTTTTTTTATTAGCAGTGATCACTGGGGATGTCAGTGGCAGTTAGTTCCCCCCAGTGTCAGAATGCCCACCGCAGTCCCACTATAAGTTGCTGATCGCCGTCATTACTAGTACAAATGAAAATTCCAGTATATATACACCGCCATTTGTAGATGCTATAAACCAGTTAATGTACATGTATTTGTAGCAGAATTTTTTTGGCTTAAATATATGACGAAATTTGATTTTTTTTTAAAATTTTTTTTTAAATTGTGTTTTATAGCAAAAAGTCAAAAATATTTTTTTTTATTTTCACAAAATTGTCGGTCTTTATTGTGTAAAAAAAAAAAAAAAAAAAAAAACGTACAAGCGATCAAATACCACTGAAGGAAAACCCTATTTGTGGAGGGGAAAAAAAGGACATCAATTTCAATTGGGTGCAGTGTTGCATGACCGCGCAATTGTCAGTTAAAGTAACACAGCACCAAAAATGTCCTGGTCAGGAAGGGGGATCCTTAGGTGGGTAAGTGGTATGTGAGCCTGAGTGTGATGGAGCCATGTCCCAGACCTGCACTACTACAGGAATAAAGAGGCTGCAAGGTCATCCTGCAATCATCTGCTTCTTCCCATGTTTATCTATTGCTGCTTCTACAGATCAGGGGGGGCTGGCTGTGCACACAGGAGATCGATCCTATGAAAGACCTGTACATACACATGACATTCTGTCCCATCACCCGATGATTGCAGACCACAGCTCCGCCTCCAACAAACCGGGAACAATCATACTGGTGTAACGGCGGCAAGATAAATATCCCATGAAAATCTGTATCCCCTGAAGCAACTGCGCATGCGCCGGTTTAAGGCACACCAAGCCTTCGGGGGATACCGAGTTACATGGGATACTCATCTTGCTTGGCTACACCGGCCTACGGATTCCTCTCTAGATCCACCCTCACTGAATGTCAGTGTTCATCAGCTGCATGGGGGGGGGGTCGGTCCCAATAACTACTTCACCCCAATTACCTCACCGATCATTCATATATATACTAATATAAAAAAATATACACTGTACTCACCCCCTGCTCCGCAATCTCCTCCTTTATTCGCTCAGAGATGAAATGATCACCGCCCACATGTTGCTGGCTCCACCTGCTTGCACAGGCTTCGCAATCCATTGGTCCGTTGGTCTGCCACTCAGCATCGCCGAATCGATGTTGATCCCAGGAGAGCCAGCTGCAGACTGAGCAGCAGTATTGGGGTTGCTAAGCAACACTCGTGTCTCCTCCCACTTCCTGCCCTCCCTCAGACTCCTCCCACTTCTGACCCCCAGTCTCCTCCCAAGTCCTTGCCGTAGGCTCCTCCCACTTCCGGCCCCCCCCCAGTCTCCTCTACAATAGAGTCTGGCTGCAGAATGGAGCTCCCTTTTTAATAGGAAACACATGACTTCCACTCCCCTTTTTTTTGCTAGTGAACTTTAATGCAACAAACAAGCAGAGGCTGTAGAGTGGAGCTCCAGTCGACAGGAAACATGTGACCTCCACTCCAAATGTTTTAAAGTTCATTAACAAAAACAAATGGAGGTCACATGTTTCCTGTCGAGTGGAGCTCCAGTCTTCAGCCAGCTTTTCCAATGAAAAACCTTTTCTGGGAAGAATGTGGCCAATGAGGAGGTGGACAGCTGTGACCCGGAAGTGTTGGCTGTGTGCTCCATGCGGTGACTGAGGCAGTGATGGTGGGAGATGAATCTGTTACCGAAGAGCAGTAAGGAGTTCTCCTCCAGCGAGTACTGGCAGCAGTTCTTCCAGCGCAGGGGGGAGCGGGCCTTCGAGTGGTATGGCGGATACTTGGAGCTGTGTGGTGTGCTGCACAAATACATTCAACCGAAACACAAGGTGTGTACATGGACTGCTGGCTGCTGCCTTCCCTTCTCTCACTCCCTCCTGTGAGCTCTGCATTAGGGCTCCAGCACAGAACCCTGTGTTCAGTTTCCTATGGATCTGAATGCAGTAACACTCCAAGGCCTGGCCTCCCTCACATAGTGTTCAAGGCTCCATTCACCCTTGTGCGACTTGGGGAAAAAATAAACTTGACAAAAGTCACATGACAAGTTGCAACCCATGTATTTCAATGGAAGCTGTTCAAATGCATGCAACCAAAGTTGCAGCGACTTTAAAAAGGTTCCTGTGCTACTCATGTGACTTTCATGCGACTGGAGTGATATAGACTGCAATGTAAACTCTCAAAAGTTGCATGAAAGTCGCATCTTAACCATTTGATTTACCTCTTTTCCTGACCGGGCCATTTTTTTTGCGATACAGAGCTGTTACTTTAACTGACAATTGCGCGGTTATGCAATGCTGTACCCAAATTAAATTTGCGTCTTTTTTTCTCCACAAACAGAGCTTTCTTTTGATGGTATTTGATTGCCTGTGCGGTTTTTATTTTTTGCGTTTATAAACAAAAAAAAGATTGACAATTTTGAAAAAAAAAAAAAAAACACTTTTGACTTTTTGCTATTAAACATGTCCAGTAAATCAAATTTCTACATCAATTTAGGCCAAAAGGTATTCTGCTCCGCCCCCCCCAGTGTCAGAATGCCCACCGCAGTCCAGCTATAAGTCGCTGATCGCCGTCATTACTAGTACAAATGAAAATTCCAGTATATATACCGCCATTTGTAGATGCTATAAACCAGTTAATTTACATGTATTTGTACCAGAATACATTTTGGCCTAAATATATGATGAAATTTGATTTTTTTTTTTTTAATTTTTTATAGCAAAAAGTGAAAAATATTTTTTTTTTTTTTCAAAATTGTCTGCATTTTTTTTTTTTGCTTATAGTGCAAAAAAAAAAAAAAAAAAAAAAAAAAAAAAAAAAAACAGGCGATCAAATACCACTGAAAGAAAACCCTATTTGTGGAGGGAAAAGGACATAAATTTCAATTGGGTGCAGTGTTGCATGACCGCGCAATTGTCAGTTAAAGTAACACAGAGCCAAAAATGTCCTGGTCAGAAAGGGGGGGGGGGGGGGGGGGGAATCCTTAGGTGAGTAAGTGGTGTGTGAGCCTGAGTGTGATGGAGCCATGTCCCAGACCTGCACTACTACAGGAATAAAGAGGCTGCAAGGTCATCCTGCAATCATCTGCTTCTTCCCATGTTTATCTATTGCTGCTTCTACAGATCAGGGGGCTGGCTGTGCACACAGGAGATCGATCCTATGAAAGACCTGTACATACACATGACATTCTGTCCCATCACCCGATGATTGCAGACCACAGCTCCGCCTACAACCAACCCTACAACCAATTACCTCACCGATCATTCATATATATACTAATATAAAAGATACACTGTACTCGCCCCCTGCTCCGCAATCTCCTCCTCCCCCCTCATCTCGCTCAGAGATGAAATGATCACCGCCCACATGTTGCTGGCTCCACCTGCTTGCACACGGCTTCGCAATCCATTGGTCCGTTGGTCTGCCACTCAGCAACGCCGAATCGATGTTGATCCCAGGAGAGCCAGCTGCAGACTGAGCAGTGGTGTTGGGGTTGCTAAGCAACACTCGTGTCTCCTCCCACTTCCTGCCCTCCCTCAGACTCCTCCCACTTCCGGTCCCCCCCAGTCTCCTCCCACGGCCTTTCCTTTGGCTCCTCCCACTTCCGGCCCCCAGTCTCCTCTACAATAGAGTCTGGCTGCAGAATGGAGCTCCATTTTTAATAGGAAACACATGACTTCCACTCCCCTTTTTTTTTTGCTAGTGAACTTTAATGCAACAAACAAGCAGAGGCTGTAGAGTGGAGCTCCAGTCGACAGGAAACATGTGACCTCCACTCCAAATGTTTTAACGTTCATTAACAAAAACAAATGGTGGAATGGAGGTCACATGTTTTCTGTCGAAAGTGGAGCTCCAGTCTTCAGCCAGCTTTTCCAATGAAAAACCTTTTGTGGAAGAATGTGGCCAATGAGGAGCTGGACAGCTGTGACCCGGAAGTGTTGGCTGTGTGCTCCATGCGGTGACTGAGGCAGTGATGGTGGGCAGATGAATCTGTTACCGAAGAGCAGTAAGGAGTTCTCCTCCAGCGAGTACTGGCAGCAGTTCTTCCAGCGCAGGGGGGAGCGGGCCTTCGAGTGGTATGGCGGATACTTGGAGCTGTGTGGTGTGCTGCACAAATACATTCAACCGAAACACAAGGTGTGTACATGGACTGCTGGCTGCCTTCCCTTCTCTCACTCCCTCCTGTGAGCTCTGCATTAGGGCTCCAGCACAGAACCCTGTGTTCAGTTTCCTATGGATCTGAATGCAGTAACACTCCAAGGCCTGGCCTCCTTCACATAGTGTTCAAGGCTCCATTCACCCTTGTGCGACTTGGGGAAAAAATAAACTTGACAAAAGTCACATGACAAGTTGCAACCCATGTATTTCAATGGAAGCTGTTCAAATCCATGCAACCAAAGTTGCAGCGACTTTAAAAAGGTTCCTGTGCTACTCATGTGACTTTCATGTGACTGGAGTGATATAGACTGCAATGTAAACTCTCAAAAGTTACATGAAAGTCGCATCTTAACCATTTGATTTACCCCCCTTCCTGACCGGGCCATTTTTTTGCGATACAGAGCTGTTACTTTAACTGACAATTGCGCGGTCGTGCAATGCTGTACCCAAATTAAATTTGCGTCTTTTTTTCTCCACAAACAGAGCTTTCTTTTGATGGTATTTGATTGCCTGTGCGGTTTTTATTTTTTTTTTTGTTTATAAACAAAAAAAGATTGACAATTTTGAAAAAAAAAAACTACACTTTTGACTTTTTGCTATTAAACATGTCCAGTAAATAATCAAATCTCTACATCAATTTAGGCCAAAAGGTATTCTGCTCCATGTCTTTGCTAAAAAAAAAAAAAAATCCCAATACATAAACGAATTGACTTGCGTGAAAGTTATAGCATTTACAAATGGCAGTAGATATGCTTTTTTCTTTTTTTTTTAACTAGTAATGGCGATCAGCAACTTATAGCAGGAATGCGGCGGGCATTCAGACACTGGGGGAGAACTGACTTTGTGTCACTGACATCCCCAGTGACACCAATACAGTGATCAGTGCTAATAAAAAAAAAGCACTGATGCTGTACTAATGGCACTGGGCAGGATAGGGTTAACATGTGGGGCGATCAAAGGGTTAACTGTGTGCTGCTTTACTGTGTGTGTGTGCTTTACACTGTAAGCACACTGCTTTGTATGGCTCTGCTATGCAAAGCCATACAAAGCAGTGTGCAGGAGCTGACAGGGAAGAGATCTGTGAACGCCAGGTGCTCACAGGGAATCACGGGCTGGGACCCAGTGATTGACAGCTGAGCCCGTGAATGGCAGAGTGGGTAGGGCGCGCACGCCCCCTACCCAGAACTGCAAAATCATGTATATATATGAGATTTTTTTTCACCTGTGCCTCCCTGTAGCAGTATTTCTGCTATACGGTGGTGCGGAAGAGGTTAATGTTATCAATGCAACAGTAAAGCCAAAGTCGCACCCATCCAAAGTTACATCAAAGTCACAATGGAAATCGCACGACTTTGGAGTTACATAAGTGTGAATGAAATCTGTGCCTTTTGCAGGGCTGTGTTTACCAGCACAGTGATGGACAGGTGTTCCGGGCATCCCGTTGTCGGCTGTCCCATAGCAGTTAATTGGGATGCAGCGGTTGCACGGACACAGCTGCTGCTGCCATTATGACATCTATGTGGATGCTTCTATCCAAACACAACCTAGGGTTCATTTGGGACTCTGCGCCCCCACCAACAGGAATGTCACATTGGGAGCAGCAGCTGTGCCCGTGCATTTATTGCATCCCAGTTAACAGCTATGGGACAGCCGACAGAGAGATGCCCTAAACGCCTGTCCATCCCTGTGCCGGTAACCATGGGCCTGCACGGATTAAAATGCCCAGTGTGAATGAGGCCGATGGACCATACGCACTGGGTCCATCAGCTGCAGCCACCGGGATTGTGTGTAAAACTGACAAGCGAACTCCTGTCTATTAGGTGGAAGCATTTTGGGCGGCTGCACTACTACTGCTTAATTGCTTTCATATACCCCTGGTATCGGTGCCGCTGTCATGTATTCCCGGACTCTGGACTGGCATAGCGGGTGCCTCCGGGCTAATGGGGAGAGAGGCCCTGCTCCCTGTCCCTGGTTGAGTCATTCACTAGGCAGCTGTACAAGTGCGGAATGATCTCAGCCTTCAGTGATTCTAAGGCTGGGTTCACACTGATGCAGTGCGGAATTCGCAGCGAATTTTGCACTGCATCAGAATCGCACCCCGTTCTTGTGAACCGCTGCAGGTGTGTATGTTAAGTTAATAACACCCCGAAATCGGTCCGCAAAACGCGGTGCGATGTGCAGAATCGGATCACATAGGTGTGAATACCCATGCGATCCGATTCTAGTGCGGAACAAAAAAAAATTGCGACCATTTGCACTTCGGACCAGGTTTTTCTGCAGGATCTTTCTGCCAGCACCATCTGGTGTACATTTCATTTTGTTAGGCATATGTGCATATACCCTTAAGAAACTTCACTCTTTCAGTCAACATTGACTATGTTTAATCCTTATGCTGCTAGCAATAGATAGGAAAGTATATTGCATTTACCTGTTTTAAACTTTTTTTTTTTTTTTTTATACATTTCTTCAGTTACACCCTAGATTCTGTGCCTAGGCAAATGATGTCCTACATCCCAGGAATCTTTAGGGGGGGGAGGGGCTTTCTTGGCTAAGCAAACACCCTGTTTGCATGCCTGAGCTAAGAGCAGATGGATTACAGGAAGTAAATGCTACAGGAATCATCTGCCCTTACTCAAGATGGCCACAGCTAAAAATGCTTGGGCTGTTTTTCAAAGTGATTTCTCAGCAAAATAAAAAAAATTAGACATGGATGGATGGGGGAGTTTGCTTTGAATATTAAAAATGAATTAAATAGTGTTTTTGATTTGTGTTGCTCAGATGCAGTGTAGTTAATTTTTAAGGACTTATGCACATGGATGCACCTGGGAGCCACATTTGTTCGCTTTCAGTCACAACCTGTACAAGTCAATGACAGGCTCTAATTTTTACGTTCTAAAACCAATAAAAAAAACTTATCTCCCTAATCACTATCTTCTCTAGAATGTACACTGAGCTGCACATGCACATTCTCCGTACCCCTAAGTGACATCTGAAGTCCTGCATCCAGAAGAATCAGAGAAGATGATTCCAGTGTCAGGAGGTTAGTATTTGTGGACTTCAGTTCTGCTTTAACCCTCCTCTACTTTATCCAAAGTTTTTATCTTTAAATATACTTTCACTAGAGCGCTTTACCGAGCTTTAATAAGTGTTGTAAGAATTAATTATGGGAAAAAGGAAAGATCCTTTCACCACCTACTCTACACTGCATTCATTCAATGATAGAAGGTGGTGACAGGTCCAGGTTTTTTACATAACTGGTTTGTACATCTTGTTTCTTGCAGGTGCTAGTGGTGGGCTGTGGCAAAGTGAAAGGCTATATGATGCTGGATGCCAGAATCTGACCAATATTGTTTTGAGTGAAGTGGTCATTCGCCAAATGAACGAGCAAAATGCCAAACGAAGACCTCTGATGACATATCAGTTGATGGATGCCACACAGACTACATTTTCTGATTCTCACTTTCAGGCTGTGTTGGATAAGGGGACATTGGATGCCATACTCCCTGATACAGAAGAAAGAACTCTGGAAACTGCTACAAAGTTGCTGGTTGAAATTGGTTGTGTCTTGCAATATGGCGGACGATATGTTTGTGTATCTTTGGCTCAAGGCCACGTCTTGGACAAACTAGTAAATCAGTTCTACCAAGGTGGATGGATGGTTCGAGTTCATCAAGTATCAGAAGCAGCAGCAATGAGTCTGGCAGTCAGTTTCCTTTACTAGTATTTTTATTTGTGATGCGACTGATGCCAGGGTTTCCACAAGTCTTGGAAATTATGGCTAAGGAGGGCGCCAAGCCGCTGCGTTGTTCAAGCCCTGATGAACTAATGGCAGCAGTGAAAGAACAACAGCAATATGCACTAATCCGTAACCGCCTGAACCAAAATCAGAGTTCTCAGGAAGTGTCATTAGACTTGTGTGATGGAGATTCTGGAAGAATTTGTTACACCTTTTATGTGGTAGATAGTCTTACTGTAGGACTATCTCATGCCAATTACTTTGCAATATTTATAAGTAAGCTGGGCTTTCTTTTTTTTTTTTTTTTCTTCTTATGTCCTAATATTCTTTCTGTAATATTCTGCACTTAATGTAATATGAATAAGTCAAAGTCCGAACACCACTTTAAAGGGGACTATAATTAGCTACTCTTCTAAAGGATTTCCCATTTTAAATTTAAAGGAATTCACATACAATACAAATTCAGATGTTATATGTATGTATATATGTATGTGTCTCTATCTATATATATTCCCTTCTAGATTGTAAGCTCGAAAGAGCAGGGCCCTCGATCCCCTCATGTTTTGCATTGTATTGGTATTGTTCTGTCACATGTTCTGTCCCCCTTTGTAATGTACAGCGCTGAGTGAACTATTGGTGCTTTATAAATACTGTATAATAATAATATCTATCTTTTTTTTTTTTTCCCTTTAATTTTCTATTTTTTCCATTTTTCTTCTTTTTTCTCTTCTGTCAGCATCTTACTAACACTCAAATCCTGGTAGCAGTGGTGCTTAATTAAAGTAGAACTCTAGGTTTAATTTAATTTTAAATATTTTTTGGGGCCAAGCTGGTCCAAACAAACCATTTCCATTACTAAAACATACACCTGCTGTATAAAACTGTATGTTACTTCAGCTGCGTGCAGCATACAGTGTTGTGTTTCAGGCAGTCAGCTAGAGACTTTCTGTCCCATTTCCAGGACAAAAACAAGTTAGCCTGAGCTTTGCTCAACCAGTCATAGAAGGCCTTGTATATTCTAAAAATGCAAAGCTTCATGTGAATGGCTGAGCAATGCTCATCCTAGCTGGATATTGTTCCAGGAATAGAGCAGGAAGTCCATTACTGCTGCTAGAACACAGCGCTCTCATTGCCATCTTTAACGCAAGGCAAACTGGCAGCTGCCCCGGGCCCAATCGTTGTGGGGCCCAAAAGCAGCTGCCCCTTGAGCCCTTTGTCTTGAAGGATCCCGGTGGCAGCAGGAGCAGGGGGAAGGCGAGCATCGAGGGCAGCTAGGATTGAGAGCCTATGAGCAGGAAGACTTCCCCTGACACTGAGCAGCAGCGGGTGCAGCATCCCCAACGGCGGTGCCTCCCAGAGCATGGAAACCTCTCGGCTCACAGCTCCGACAACTAGGGGACAAGCTGACCAGGGGCCCAGAGGACAAGGATGGGCTGGAGTGCAGATAGCCAGAGGCCACAGAGCAGGGGAACGAGCAGATCACCCAGAATCAGAATGGCCGCAGCCTGCTGCTGCTGTCAGGTACAGAGCATCACACATACCTACTGGCAGACGGACTGGGACAGGGAGGCACGGGAGGAACTGAAGACAGGGCTAGGGTCTCTCTCTCTCACACCTCTCACCCCACCCCCTTTCTCCCCCTCACCTCTCTCTCATACCCCTCTACCCCCCCATTCTCCCCCCCTCCCAACTCCCCTTTCTCCCACCACCTCTCTCCTCCCCCCCCCCCCCCCCCCCTTATTGAATTTTGCTCTCCACCTGCCCTGGGCCATACAATAAGTAGCAGCTAGACTCAAAATAAGTTTACTACACCAGATCAGGCAGTGATTGTGATTGGTTGCCAGAGGTTACAGCATATCCTTACTGATTAGTTGCTAGAGGATACAGCACATAATTTCTGCTTGCTGATTGGTTGCTAGAGGTTACTGCACATCATTACCGCTCACCCATTGGTTGCTGGGGGGGGGGTAGCTTGTGATCAGTGGCAATGGTGGTGGTGGTGGGTGCAAACGGATGAGTGACACAACTTCAGACTCCACTTAGAGCAGAACTAAAGTCTATATTTAAAATGCAAGCAGTAGACCTTTTACCGCAGATGATACACACAATGGGGGTTAATTAATAAAGCTGCAAAATCTGGTGCAACTCTGCATAGAAACCAATCAGCTTCCAGGTTTTATTGCCAAAGTTTCATTGAACAAGCTGTTATAAGATGCTTGGCTGCCATGCACAGCTGTACCAGATTCTGAGGGCTCTAGTTTTAGTAAATCTACCCCACTGTCTCTGCTGCAACAAAATAAAAATGTAGACCAAGGATTTCCTGGTCACCATTATGCATTAAAGGTTTAATTTCACTTAAAATAGTTTGTTGGGCCAAGC